TTTTTTTTTTTTTTGGTGGCTATTGTGAATGGGATTTTCTGTTTTTAATTTGAGTCTCTGCCTACTTGTTGGTGCTTAAGAATGCAACTGTCTTTTGCACATTTATTTTGTATCCCAAGATTTTGCCAAAGTCCTTTATCAGTGTAAGCAGGTTTTTGACAGATTGTCTTGGATTTCCAAGATTTAGGATCATATCATCAGCAAAGAGGGATAACTTAACTTCCTCTTTTCCTATTTGGATACTCCTGATTTCCTTCTCTTGTCTAACTGCCCTAGCTAGGATTTCCAACACAATGTTGAACAAGAGGGGTGAGAGTTGGCAGCCTTGTCCCATTCCAGTTTTCAGGGGAAGTATTTCCAGTTTCTGTCCATTTAGCAATATGCTAACTATGGGTTTATCATAGATGGCACTTACTATTTTGAGGTATTTTCCTTCCAAACCTAAGTGTTTGAGGGTTTTTATCAAGAAGGATGCTGGATTTTATCACAAGCTTTTTCTGCATCTAATGATATAGTCATGTGGCATGTGGTTCTTATTTTTATTGATGTGTTTAATTACATTTATTCTTTTTATTCTTTTTCTCTCTCTCTCTCCCTTTTTTTTTTTTTTTTTTTTTTTTTTTTTTGCTTTCCTATGGGTTATTTGGGCATTTTTTTGGTGTCTAATTTTGATGTATTTATGTTGGTTTTTTGGGTATTGCTTTGTATCATTTTCTTAATCATTGTTCTATGTATTTCCTTACACATATACTTATCAGAGCCTACTGATACAGACAGTTTACTGCTGCAAGTTAAGTGTACAAACCTTACTTCCATTAAGATGCCTTTACTCTCACCATTTAATATGTGGATGGTGTTATGATTAATGGCAGGTGTAGGAGAAAGAATGGGTTATGACGGACGCCTTTTTATTGATTCTGGTTTTGACTGATATCTGTTTGTTCATTCCCACCATATGTAAAGCACCTAGAGTCCCTCCTTCAATACCTTGCACTCACATAAGACATACTAATAACATGTTCATGCACTTAAAAGTATGTATCTCACCAGAACCTGTATAGCATCAAGTTATGTTAGATATGTCCGTTGCTAGATTGCTAATGATACCACACTCAAGTTTGCCAAATATTGGATATCATGAGTAAATCCTGTTTTGAAACAAGTATGATCCCCACCAGGGTGTATTCAGGCTGCACGCTGAGCTCTGTTAACAGATGAATGAGCAGTAACTGAGTTAGTGTCTCACATAGAATCACAAAGAGATAAAATTACAATAAGATCTCTGTTGTCAAGCCAGGAAATCGACAGTCCTGACTTCTGACAGTCATTAGACTGCCTGGATAGAGACTTTTATGGCACACCCAGGGATTTGGTCTCTTAGAATCACTGGGCTTAAATTATTATCTCAATATAATTTTAATTTATATTTTATTTCACAAGTATTTTTTTCTTCTGTCTTTGGAAGCAGAAAATAAATACTTGTTTGTGAGATCTTTTTCGAGATTCAAGTATGTCCTTGGTGTCTTTCTCTTTTTTCCGTAGATTGGAAGTTCCACAAACACCCTGAGTGCCCTGCAAATTGCTTTTGCTGATAAAGAAACACAAGTCATCTACCTTCTGACAGATGGCAGACCTGATCAGGTACTTATCAAAGTTGAGAACAAAGATGAACTCATCAGTACTGTCAAAGTGAAGGCTGAGAATGGGCGTTAGGGACCTTTTCAACTGCCATTAAAAAAACTGTTGAGATATACTTGGCTCAGGGACTCAGAACTGAGGTGAGAAAATATGCTGAGGAATTCCTTTGTCTACTGAATCGCTGAGGAGAATTTATGTGACAGTGAATGCTGTCTGGTTAATGTGACACACACCCATAGCCTGGAGACCAACCCCATGAAAGGAAACATCTGCCTTCCATTGAAGACTGGTTTATATTTTATTACAAACTAAGAGTGAGGAGATTCTTTTTGATTTTCTTCCTTTGGGGACTCTGAATCTAAACATGTCACTGAACAATGTCCTTGGTTTTATCCCTAATTCTAACTTAGTACTCATTTAAACAAAAAACATGCCTTGCTAATGAAGCATTCTTTGTTTCGTTTAGCCTAACTGGAAAATATCTGAAAAGTTTTAGAGGAGTCTGTTCATCTTCTTTTGAGCTTTGTGATGAAAAGTTAGTGCTCTGGGCACTACACAAATGTAAGAATTTTCAGGTCGGCGTGTTGCAAATGAACGGCTGAAATGAATTAGGATCAGCCTGTAGCCTTCCTTGTGAGATTATCACATATGCAAACTGCTAGGCAAATATTCGAAAATATCCCGTGTCAAATAGTTTGGGGCTGAAAGTAAAGCAACTGAATTTTACTACAGGTTTAAATTTATGGCAGAACTGTACGGTGTAAAGGAAAACGCTGTTTGAATGATTTTCCCATCAACCTCATCATATTATTTTCCACTCAGAAGCAATTTATTGAGTCTCTCTTATATTCTATGTGTGGTGCCAAGGTCTGAGGCTGCAAAGATGAATAATATCTCATCCCTGCCTTAGAGAAGCTTATACTTTGGGGAATGTGCTGGACGTAAACAGTTCATTCTGATACAATATGGGCAATGGGGTTGCCTAAGCTATGTTTAGGAGCACAAAGTGATTAATTCTGCTGTATAGATGGAGAGAAGGCCAGGGAAGTTTCCACCAAGAAGAGGACATTTGAACTGGAAAGAGGAGAAGGAATTTTCTGACTAGAGGAGATTACTGGTGACCTGGGAAGAAGGGACGGGACAAAGAGGTGTAGAAATATGCCTAAAGAAACAAGCTGAGTGTGGGGCAATGATGGAAGGGGGTAAGGGCTAAGGCAAGAAAGTCCTTCACAGTTGGAGGAAACTGTGAAGGTCCTTGAATGCCACATTAAAAGGGTGGGTATCACCTCAGTGGGGAATGCTCAGAGGAGAGATAGCTCTCCCCCTCCATTTGTATTTTAGAAACACCTCAGTCGTGCCAGGGAAAGGCTGGCGCTGCTAAAGCCTGCTGCCAGGACCTGGACCCAAACTAGTAAGGGCCCAGCCTCAGGCAGGAGCAACAGGAATGGGGAGGAGGGAGTGTCTCTGGAGATGAGACGACGGAAGAGACACCAACAGGACTACGTGGCCAGTTTAGGGGATGAGGAGAAGGTGAAAGCAGGGCAAAAAGGAGTCAAGGTGACTGATATCTGGTTTACAATGATTATGTTATTCACTGACTGAATTAATGAAAATTAAATTGAAAAAGAAGGAACAAGCAGAGTTAGGGGTTGCAAGTAGAGGAAGTTGAGCTTGCACACCTATAGTGTGTAAGTGTTCAGAAATATGGGGCTGGATTTGGGGAATGATGCAGGCTGAAGATTGATTTGAGGGTCATCCGGGAAAGATGTCTTTTTCTTTTTAATAAACTCTTAATGATTTTTTTTGTTTTCGTTTTTGCTTTATTTTAAAGTTGTGAGGTACAAGTCAGCCTTGGGTACATAAGTGGCTTAGGTACAGGTGAAGTTTGGGGTATCCCATTGGATCTCACTTCGCCTGGGTTAGGATCAGGCACCCTCTCTTCATGATTTTTAAACATTATTTATACTATGGGAAATTTAGAAAATCTAAATAAGCATAAAACAGGAGACAATTTAAATCACTCATAATTCCATTTTGCATTCTGCTTTTTTCTCATCTGATATATGCGTTTTCCCAAGGCATGAGAAAGTCTTCAAAAGCATCTTTCTCAATGACTGCATCATGTTCCATTATATGGATCTAGCAAAAGTTCTACCTTAAAACTCTTTTTGTTTATTTAATACTTAATAGAAATGCATTCACATAGTGCATATTACAAAAGGGCATATAGAGAAAAAAATTATCCCTCTCACCCTTGTTACTAGTTAGAAGGCAACTGATGCCACCAGTTTCTTCTACCTCCTTGCAGAGACAGTTTATGTTATGCAGCAAAAATGTATTTATATATATATTTCCACTTTAAAAATGTTATTATATTATACACATGATTCTGCATCTTTAGTCATCAAACAATATAACTTGGAGATCGCTTCATATCATTTCATAAAGAACTTCTTCATTCTTTTATACAGCCCCATCACATTACTATTCCATCATTGATTTTAACCAGTCCCCTGGAGAAGGGTATTTAAGTTGTTTCCAATCTTTCTATTACATGCAGTGCTGCAAAAGGGATGCTGTACATACATCATTTTGCATGTGTGTGGGTATATCTATAGTGTAAACTCTGAGAAGTGGTCTCAGCTGAAAGGTGTGGGTCCTGATGGAGATTGCCAAGTCACCTCCCTGAAGAGGATATACCAAGTCCCGCCCCTGCCAGCATAGTATTGAGAAGAATTCTTGATCGACAATTCATCAGAGACTTGCGAGTCTCTGGAATCTCCCAATTATATATTAAAAATACACGCAAACATTTTTTTCCCCTGGGGAGAAGATCAACAGACTTCACTAGATTCTCAAAGTTTCTGTGACCCACTCCAAGTTGGAGAGCCAAGCATATGAATAATAGTAGGAGTCAGAAATATGCAAACTGTCCAAAACATAATTTATAAACTCTTAAGAATGTCTATATTCAGTACTTCCCTTTACACATACACAATTTATTTTGCATTGTCCCTCAGATTCTCTCAAAAAAGCAAATGGATATTTGATATTCATGTTCTATGTAGAAGATATTAAGATGTCCCACTCAATCTCCATTTGTTTTTAAGTCTTCACTGACTTTGTAGGAACAGGTAGGACCAATGTTATTCATCCTAATATTCAGCAGAATATTTGGGAGAATACACAGAGATACTGTTCTGGGTTCAGTTACATGGACAGTGGCTTACTGCTTGCTTATTAAATGCCCAGGACAGCATTATAAAGTGACACAGTCTTTAAAATTAATCAGGTCCAAAAGGATCTAGATATGTTATTTTTCATTAAAATAGAATCAGATACACGTTATATAGGTGTCCTTTGGTGAACATCTGTAGGTACAAATTGACACGGCAGGGCTTTTGCTGAGAACAGCCAGGGCAACTTTGGCTGTGTTCACTTTGGGAATTCTTGGAAGTGAGGGGCTTATCCTGGCCAAAATCAAGAAAATAGACATGATGAGTGCATCACACCTTCTAAACAAAAACGAATGGATAAAGCCTAGCATGGGGATGGGGAGGGTGCAGGGTGATCAGCCTGTACCAACAGCCCTCCTTCAGGCAGGGAGGAGACCGATCCCTGCCTTTCTTGCCTTCCGGTAAATGCTCTGGCTGCACATCAGTTTAGGCTCGGAGAAGGAACAGGGGCGAGCCACTTAGGTGGGCTGCTTGGCCTCACCTGAGGCTGATAGCACTGTCTGGCACATAAGAGGTGCTCTATAAAGACTTGTGACATGCCTTCATGGGATCATCATGCCATTTACTCCCCATAGCAAGGAGGGAGTATCAGCTCTAAGCCGCAGATGTGGAAACTCATGTTAGAGAGGCATTTGTCTGAGGTCATTCAGCTGGGCAGGCTGTGGGTGAGCTTCTAGCTCAGGCATCATTCTGTGGAGTATTTCCATTACTTCATACAACTGAGTGCGTGAGTGTGAGAGACTGTCACGTGTATCACTGTATGCCCCCACTTGCACCTGGCCCCAGGTGGTCCCATCATGCTAAATGGGCATGATGTTTTAAGCGCCCTGGTGTGGTGTTGGGGAGCTGAGCAGAGGGTCAGGATGCTCCTCAATGGCAGAGGGTGCTCCATCCCTGCAGTGGGAAAAAGCCATTCTTGTCCTGCCCCCTGAGGATTCCTTCTGCTGGTTTACATCCTCAGGGCTTTGAAGAGCAGACGCAGAAAGTTGAAGCAAGCCTCTCACCACTGCAGCCTGACGAACTGTGACCCTTTCCAGCCACTCACTTCAGTAGCTGCCCCAGGCAGTGGAGTGGAGAGTCCACTCCCTGACTAGCTCCTGTGTCCTTGAGGAAGCCTGACTCAGCCTAGAACTCCTTAGTACGCCTTCCTCACAGAGGCTGTCAGCTTTTTTCAGTCCCTAAGATGAATGTCCACCACATGGAAGGGCCTTTAATAAATTTCTTCCTTCATTCTCTGTGGGAAGCAAGTTGACCGAAGCAGGTTGGAAACTGGAAGTAGCTCTTTTGGCAGAGACATTTTGGAAGCCATGCTAAGAATCCAGGGACCCTACTCTGTGGAATCCCAATGGTCAGCGTGTTCTCTTCTGACACCACTACTTTAAGTGATCCCAAGGCGAGTGCAGCGCTTTGAAAGCAGGACTCTAAGCTGAGGTGCACCTAAAATTGAGTGATTTGGTTAGCCAAATCTTTCTCCTAGCTTATTTTCTCCACCAAATTGAGAGATCCCAGAAGGCAAAGACTATGTCTTATCAATCTTTGCACGCTCACCATCAGTGTTTTCTTTGTTAAATTGAATTGACACATTTATAGAAAACCACTCACTTCTGTATAAGGGATACTATTTGAGAAACTCACTATCTATAGTAAATACGAAGGGTTTCCGTGTCTTACTTTTTTTCTTCCTTTTCTTCTCCCTTTCCACCTCCCCTTTCTCTCTCAAAATTTATCATTTCAGCCTCCTGAAATGGTTATTGACCAAGTCAAAATTTTTCAGAAAATTCCAATTTATACTATCTCTTTTAATTACAATGATGAGATTGCAAATGGATTTTTGAAAGAGCTTGCTTTTTTGACTGGAGGAGAGTTTCATTTTTACAATTTTGGTTGCAAGGATCCTGTTCCTCTTGAGACTGTTCAGGTAAGAGCTTGATGGGCTAAGAAGGAAGCATTCATTTATCTGAGCTTTACAGGCTCAAGGCCCATGGACAATACCTTAAATACGAAAAAGCAATCACAATGAAAACTAAGTCGACCCCATAAACCACTTAACAACATATGTACCAGTGTTTCTCAAAATGTAGCCCAAGGACCTAGGGCACCTGATCAGATTCCTGAGTTCCATTTCAGAGCTACTAAATCAGATTGTAGGCATAGAGACCCAGTTTACTTCTCTGCTGAACACGGTGGCTTATGCCTATGATCCCAGCTACTTAGGAGGCTGAGGTAGGAGGTTAAATTAAGTTCAGGAATTCGAGACCAGCCTAGGCAACATAGCAAAACACCTTCTCTAAAAAGTAAAGTAAAAATGAATTAACCCTGCAGGCATGTGCCTGTAGTCCCAGCTATTTAGGAAGTTGAAGCGGGAAGATTGCTTGAGCCCAGTAGTTCAAGCCTGCAGTGAGCTATGATCCCACCACTGAACTCCAGCCTGGATGAATAGACACACAGACCAATGAAATAGTATAGAAATACACCTACACGGCTCATGCCCAACAGATTTTTAACAAAGGTGCAAAAGCACCTTTCAATAGAAGAAGGGTAGCCATTTCAACAGATGGCTGGAGCAATTGAACATTCATAGGCAAGATGATGAAGCTTAACCTAAACCTCACACAAATATTAACTCAAAATGGATTGTGGATTTAAATGTAAAACAGAAAACTATAAAACTTTTAGAAAGAAACGTGGGGGAAAAAATCTTGAGGACTTAAGGCTAGGCTTTTGCTCTGTGAGAGACCCTGTTAAGAGGATGAAAAGACAATCTACAGACTTGGAGAAAGTATGTGTAAACAATATATCAAACAAAATCCCAGTATCTAGAATATATGAAGAATTCTAAAAACTCAACAGTCAAAAATAAGTCATACAATCAGAAAATAGGCAAAACACATGCACAGACATTTCACTGAAGAAGAGCTACATATGGCAAATAAGGACATGAAGAGAAGCTCAACATTATTAATTACTAAAGGAATGCAAATTAAACCACCATGAGATATCACTTCACAACCATCAGAATGGCTAAAATTTTTAAAATGTGAAAAAACTGAGTGCTGGAAAGGATGGGAAGAAACTAGATCACTAATATATTTTCGGTAGATATGTATAACGGCACAGTCACGCTGGAAAAGAGCGTGGTAGTTTCCTTAAAAACTAAATATGTAATCACAATATGACTCAGTACTTGGTTTCTTGGGCATATATTTCAGAGAATGAAAACTCGTGTTCACATAAAACCTAATGGCCCTACATCTATCAAAGAAACTAAAATTTGTAGCTAAAATCCTTTCCACAAGGGACACTCCAGTCCCAGATGACTTCATTGCTGATTTGTACCATTTACAGAGAAAATATTATCAATTCTGCATAAACTCTTCCAGAAATTTGAAAGAGGGGACTACTTCTCAACTCATTCTATGTGGCAAACATTAACCTGATACGAAAACCTCACAAAGACATTATAAGAAAATAAATTTGAAAAAGTCTGGGCTTTATGTGTACCCATCATCCCCATTAGTGCACATTGTACCTGATAGCTGATTTTTACATCTTATTCCCCCCCTGCCGAGTCTCCAGTTATACCGTTATACTATTACATATACCTTTGCAGACCCTTAGCTTAGCTTCCATTTGTATCCCTAAAGTTATTGAAAAAAAATTATAGGAGCTGACACAATTAATAATAATAAATTGTGACCCCATATGTTAAAAAAAAGAAATTTGAAGGCTAATATGCCTTATGCATATAGATGCAAAAATTATAAATAAAATTTAACAAATTGAGCCGGGCTCGGTGGCTCAGCCTGTAATCCCACGCCTTGGGAGGCTGAGGTGAGTGAATTGCCTGACTCCGTAGGTTCAAGACCCATCTGGGCAACTTGGCTGAGACCTCATCTCTACAACAAATCAAAAAATTAGCCGGGTGTGGTAGCGCGTGCCTGTAGTTCCAGCTACTTGGAAGACTGAG